TCTCTCTCTCTCTCTCTCTCTCTCTCTCTCTCCCTCTCCCTCTCCCTCTCTCCCTGCCCCTCCCCCTCTTGTGTGCTCTGCTTCTCTCTCTCTCTCAAAATAAATAAATAAATAAACTTTAAAGAAAAAAAAAAGGTAGATCAAGTGCCAAACATGGGGTCAGCCAGTTTTTCGAGTAAAGGGGAAGATAGGAAATATTTCAGGCTTCACAGATCTGCCTCTGTTCAATATCGTACAATCGTATGATCGTATGATCGGCCTCTGTTCAATATTCTGTATTCTTTGTTTTTGGCAGCTCTTTAAAAATCTTAAACCCCTTCTTAGCTCAAGGGTCATAAAACAAGCTTTGGAGGCTGGATTTGGCCTGATGGCAAGTCGTTCACTGACGCCTGTCTTGGGGCTGAAGTCTCGTTGGGTCTCAGAAGATTAGAACAGAGGTATCCTAAGGGCAGATGTAAATATTTGCTGGGAGGTGAGAGGCAGGAAATCACCTGTGAAAACATTACCCCATCCCCAAGCTTCTGTAGCCACTCAAGTGATGGGGCCCTTAACTGTCAGAGACAGTACGTGTTCAAGTTTATTTTCTTCTTCAAACACTTTTTCGAAAATGTACAATGAATTCCATCTGAAGCATGGCTGTATTTGTAATGTGCAGAAGAGGTTGAAGAAGAAAGAGTCAAGGGCACAGAGGACGGATTCTGTCTGTCTTGGAAACCCCAACCCGGAGACGTCACGGGCTACGTTGTGGAGTGGTGTGAACGTCCAGGGGACCCGCTCTGTGATGTCCAGTGGAGAAACCTAGGTCCCAATACCACAAGCACAGTTGTCAGCTCAGGTAAGGAGAGTCCTCCGTGTTACCATCTTGTTCCCTGCACCTTGCAGCAACTTCAACCAGGACCTCTGGACCATCTCATGGATACTTGGTACTAAACTAATCATTTTGAAATGACGACATCAGGCCCGGGGGCTAGGAGTTCACATTTTGCAATGATGTGGTCTAAGATTTGGCCTGAAACATACTTTCACAGACACGCTCTGGACCTGAGGCTGGGATAGGTTTTCACGATTTTATAAATTTGTGCCTTGAAATCAGTTCTCTCAAATGAATGGCAAAGGGACATTATAACCCTCCCCGTCTAGAGAGGTGTATGGATTTGGGACACATTCAGCACATAGCGTTGTCGGAGTCAATCATCAGCTCCTTCACTTTCGGTGGCAAATGTAGAATTTGATCTCTTACTTCCCACGTTGGAGTTGTAATTTCAGGAATGGCAGTTTAGTGGAGTCCCAGAAGCCTAGGTTTGCTGCTGGAGTAGAGGTATCAGTAGCGCCATCTGCTGGGCTTGAGGTAAAGATGTGGGGAATCGTCGACCTGCAGAGGGTGACGGAGGCCAGGGAGGGCATTCAGTGAGGGAATGAGGCTGCCCTCGGCCTGGGCGGTGTCAGTGGCATGGCGGGTGCCGAAGGTGGATTGCAGAGGTGCGGGTGTGAGGGGAAAATGAGGAAGTGCAAGCAAAGCCTTCTAGTGCTCAGCTTGGTGGGGTGGGGGGTGGCGAGAGAAGACAAGTCGCTGCAGGGGACTTGGAGTCAGAAGAGACTTTAAAATGGTTTTCTGGGGACGCCTGGGTGGCCCAGTCGGTCGAGCTTCCGACTTCGGCTCCGGTCATGACCTCACGGCTCGTGGGTTCGAGCCCCGTGTCGGGCTCTGTGCTGACAGCTCCGAGCCTGGAGCCTGCTTCCGATTCTGTGTCTTCCCCTCTCTCTCTCTGCCCCTCCCCTGCTCACACTCTGTCAGTCTCTCTCTCTCAAAAACTAAACATTAAAAAGTAAAATAAAATGGTTTTCTGTGCGTGACTGAATTCTGCACCCACTTTCCTGCACGTGGACAAGATGGTGTTCGAGAGCCCTTGTCGGAGAGGACGGCGTAGAGGACAGCTCCCGCAGGCTTAGTTGGAGTCAGTGGACTCTAAGGCCAGCGGAAGCAGGGAAGACGGTGGAGATGAAGTGCAGAAATCCCGAGGAGGAAGGCATTTAGGAGACGCCAATTCATTTTTCATTTGTTCCTTTGCAGAAATAAAGAGAATGTCACTCTGTGTTATTGAAAACCTGTTGACCTTTCTTCTGTAGATGCTTTTAGACCAGGGGTTCGCTACAACTTCAGAATTTATGGAATTTCTACAGAAAGGATTCCTTATTTATTAGAGAAAAAAACAGGATACTCCCAGGAACTGGGTAAGTCTACAGCGCTTAATGTGTCCGTGGGCAGACTTGTTCAGAACAATCCAGAGATCCGAGCTGTGGGTTCAGGAATATTTCAACACTCTTCCTGATTTTCTGGTTTCCCATTTGCTCTGGTAATTGGATTTAAAAAATATTTTTAATCATAAACTATAAACCATTTTCATTAAAGACAGTGTATGGCAAAAGAAGACAAACTCATTGCTAATTTTGCCACCCCAGAAAACAAATATCCCGAGTTAATATTTGATGTATATCCAGGTATTTCTCTCCCTGTACAGATAAACATTTTTAAGTAAAAATGGGACTTCATCCAGTTTATAAAGTGCTTTTTTGACGCATGTCACTAAGTATTATTTAACTATATCATTGCAAATAATTGTTTGCATATGTCAAATCGCCTGTCGTCGGACATTGAGGATTACAAGTTTTTCAACTATAAACTATGAAACGCATCTTCAAGTGATTTCTCTCTGCAGTGCTCAGTCTCTTTTATCCTTAGCCCAACCTCTTATGCCCCGAGTCACCATCATTCTAGTGAAATCTTTGTCCATATCCACAATAATGGTTTTTAAATGAGGTCTTAGAATACTTGAATCAAGGCATGAATTTACATAGTTTCTCATTTCTTTTACAATTTTTAAGACTTTTGACACATGCCGTGAAATCATCCTCGGAAATTTTCCTGTGGTTCCACCAGCCATGGAAGGCAATTTCGATCCCACTGAAATCTGGGCCCTTTGGGACCTCTCCTCCCTTGCACCGATCAGGTCACCTCTTCCCACCCCTTCATGGGTGGGAGGGGGCTGAGACTGGCAGGGTGTGCGCGCACTTGCGTGTGAAACAGGCTCAGGAAACCTCCGGAACAAACACTCCTGGGTTGCATCAGTGACGCGTAGCTTGGTGCTGTCACAACCCGGGAGCTAGAGTCCCGCCAAAACCCCCTTCAGTCCGTCCTCTGGCAGGGTCTTCCGTCAAGCACTGTTTAGAATCCAAGAGCAGAATGAAGTCTAAGAAGGCCTTCATTCTCCTTTTTGCTGCGTGACCTTGCGCAAGCTGTTGAGTCTCTCTGGCCGTCCTTGTCTTCATCTGTGAAAGGCAAGACTTGGACAGGAAGATGGGTCCCCTCCTTCCCAGGCCTCACAAACTGTGTCAGGGCATAAATCCCCCCCGAGAAGTGGAGAAAACTCCCGAACGAGGCATGTAAGTGCCTACAGGCTCTGGGGTTGGCTGTGGCCCTACTTTTAGTTCACGTGAGCCCTCTGAGAAGATTTCCGAGTGATGACTCTTCTTACCCCGACTTCCTTTCCTAGTGCCTTCAGACAACCCTCAAGTGCTCATGAGTAACCTGACCTCCTACTCCTTTACTCTGAGCTGGAAGGACTATGCCGCCGAGTCCCAGCCCGGTTTTGTACAAGGGTACTCCCTCTATCTGAAGTCCAAGGCTGCGCGATGCCTCCCGGGATCTGAAAAGGCAGTCCTCTCAGGTGACGCGTGTGTTTGTTGGTTGGTTTACTCTTTCAAGACTTCACTCTTCAAAACCGCCAGCGAGGCCGCCATGTCTGAGCCCGGCCACACTGAATCCTGTTCTCGCATGCTTTTTGATCCAGAGTGTTCTTCAGCAAACTAGTGGGCCAGACCGCAGGGGGTCAGTGTTTTGACTTACTTAAAACAGAGTGCCCGGTATTTTGGGAAGCATTTGAAATACCATCAGCTGCTTAGGAAAACCTGCCGGTTACGAAGCTTCCTCGCTAAGCCCTTTTTCTTTTTTTCCCTTTGACTTTGTTAAAGGTTATTACAATGTATTTTTAAGTCTCTCTCCAGCTCTTACTGTCTCTCCCACACTAGTGTGCTCTCTCTGGATCACCACCTTTTCTTGCCATGTTTTCAAGATTTCAGCCATGACCCAGAGTGATGAAATGATGATTTAATATTTGATTGGTGTAGGATGTTGACGGTGCTGAGTCAACAAGACGATTATTGGTGCCCAACCCTGTCATAAGATCTCTCTCACGCTTTTTTTTTTCTTGAAAAAAATTTGTTTTTTCTTTTAAATTACAGATGATTCAATATGTTGCAAATACAAAATTGACAACCCCAAACAGAAGACATTTGTCGTGGAAAACCTGCAGCCGGCGTCTTTCTATGAGTTTTTCCTCACTCCATACACCAGTGTCGGCGAGGGCCCCCAGGGCGCTTTCACAAAGGTCACAACTCCAGATGAATACTGTGAGTTGTCGAGATCAGGAATTTTTAAACCTTTCTTCTCTGTCTCTCTTTCTCTTTCTCTAGATGGGATTCTGTGTCACACACACACAAAAAATGTCACACAGAATCCAACTACGTTAAACAGACAAGAGTCTGACTGACTTATGGCCTGGAACCTTCCTCTGGCCTGTCTGTCGCAGTGGTCCCTGAGCCACTCGGGCCCAAAATGACTTGAACTCAGTCCCAAAATGGCTGGAAAATCACAGATGGCAGTTTCCTGTCAACTTCAGAAGGGCCCCCGGGGCCCCAGGCCCACTGTCTAGAGGAGGGCGGGTGGTTTTCTCAGCAGAGCTGCCCTCGGCAGCCGGCTCCCTGGCTGGTTTCCCTCAGTGGCAAACCAGCCGCTTCCTGACTTTGCCTTTCTGGGGGCAGTTGAGAGAGATGGGGTGGGGTCTGCTGGGATCAGGCAGGTTCCTTCATGAACCTGCTGTTTGCCGATTGGTGGGGGAAAAATGAGATAAAGAGATCCACTTTTCAAAATGCATTTGGCTTGAAAGGAGGAGAAAGAAGAGGGCAGGGAGAAGGGCAGCAGGAACCAGTTAATGGTAAATCAGATTCTGGTGGTAAACACTGACCTCCAATAAACAGGAAGGTGGGGGTGGGGTGCAGGGGGAGGAAGATACTGATGGAGAAGAAGAGGAAAAGCAAGTATCAAATTGTGTATCATGGAAGGTCCCCACTGGAAGGGACCTTTGCAGACACTCCTCTCTGGGAAACAGGCTGAAAAGTCTGCCTCAAGTTACCAGCGATCCTAGGTCCTCGGTGCAGGGTCCCTTTGCTGGTGGCAGAGCCGTAGGGACATGGTGGCCACAGCAGGTAGAGCTGCTGACCAGGGTGAGGACATCTGTGTCTATGCCGGCAGATCGGGGCACTCAGGGCTGCTCACTTGTCAGCTGCAACGTGGCCCCAGGTTTCCAAGTTGAAGGTCAGAACTCTCAGATGTCAGTCAAGGATTTATATTATTTGAGCACTCTTAACTGTTTTAGGGTAAAGTCAAAAAATTTTAATTTATATTCAGGCTGTTGTTATTCCAGCTTTGGTATTTTATTTAGCTGGTAGAGGGTGTGTGTGTGTGTGTGTGTGTGTGTGTGTGTGTACACATACATCATAATACAAATAACTGTCTTTACCTCAAGTATATTTTCTAGATTTCATTTATCTCCCTTATTCATGATAAACCTCCTTAGCCTCGGCTGTGACTCTTTATTGGCTTATTGACTAGTATTAAAAAGGAAAATAAAGTGCGTAATTAGAGCAATGAGAATGACATTCTGCAGTTACAAAAATAATACGGGCGAATGTCACAACTGCCATGCCGAGTGACAGAAGCCAGCCCTGACCCTTGCTGTAAGAGTCCGCTACAGAAAGAGGCAAGTGCCATGTGTGTTATTAGAAGGCAAGATGGTGGTTACCTTGGGAGGGGACGATGATTGGATGGGGACACCAGGGGGGCTTTCTGGGGAGCTGATGTTCCTTTTCTTGCTCTGGGTACTGGCCACGTGTGTTGGCACTTGTGAAAATGCATTGAGCTGTGCTCTTATGAGCACTTTTCTGAATGCATATAATGCATTTCATCATGCATTTTGCTAAAAAAGTTTAGCAAAACCAGTCTGAAACTTGGAAACTACCATGGCTAGGTCCCCGGGCTTCTTAAGTAAGTTAGAAGTCTATAACTTAACCGAATCTTAAAACCAGTTATAGTAGTCCAAAGTACTGAGTTGAGAGCAAAGTATTCTTTAGTGGAGTCAGGAAGAGAGTTTCTTCCCCCTTTCTGCCATCAGGTTTAACTTCAGGCCAGTTGGTGAGGCGTTTGCTCCGGCATCGTCTTACCTCTCCGTGTGTCCTTTTCTTCAGACCCCTGTGCTGCCTCATAGCACTGGGCTGGGCATCTACCCAGGCCCGTCCTCCCTTACAAAATGCCAACATTTCCCACCATATCCCCAGCCCCAAATCAAACCTCATTCCTTCCAGGACAGCCAGGTGTCAGGGCTGGTGAGCAGGTGGGGGGGGGGGGGGGGGGGGGGGTTGGGGGGGGGCAGGGAAGCAGATATATTGAACAGAAATATATCGTACGTAATGTGCGTGTGAGCCGTGCGATTAGCCACCAACCCCCCTCCCTGTGCAGTTTGCATCTGCAAAAGACCGTGTTTACTGGCCCAGTGAAATTATTATTTGTTGGGCTTGCAGGCAGTGGGAAAGATGGGTATTTAAGAAAATGACCTACCTGAGGAATCAAATGGATAATTATTCTAGGTGAAGACACATTCAGGTCATTTTGTCTGAGACTGACTAAAAGTGGGGGGTGCATTATTTCATTTCTGAAGTGCAACAGAAACCCTCAAAATCTCCGTGGCATACAAAAACGAGTATTTCTGTTCATGCTCTTGGCTTAACTGATCTCAGCGGGGCTGTGCCAGGCTGGACTCCAGGCTTCCGTCAGGTTTGGGTTGGTTCCATGGCTTCACTCTGGGGCTCAGGCTAAAAGGGCAGCGGTTGTGAGAGACAGATCCTTCTCCTGGTGGATCACAGGGGCCTGGAGGGCAAGGCAGGCTGTGCGTGTGCACTTAAAGCAGCTGCTCGTGTTACAGCTACTACCAGCCCATTGGCCAAACCTAGTCACGTGGCTGAGCCCCAAGTCAGGACACAGGAAAGTATGCTCACTGCGAAGCTTTGGCAAGGGTGGGGGGGGGGTAATAATTCTGATATGGGGGCGGTGGGGGGGGGGTGAAGAATTGGAAGTAGTGATCCGGTCTCATAGAGGAGGGACCAAGTCCAAGTCAAGGTGTTGACGGCGAACGGTCCCTGTGTTGGTTGGGAGGTGGAACCCCCCACCCCATCAGCCAGAATTCAGATCGAATCTTGCATAACTAGACCTTTGAGGATTAATCACTATGTAAAATTACTCTCAAACTTACCTTTGTTCCTTTGAGGAGGGAAAAGTACTCAGGAAAATTTTCTCTGTTTTCTTCTCCAGCCCATATACTGATACGTATCACACTCCCCATGATTTTCTCCATTTTGCTCATCATGATCTTATGCTACTTGAAAAGTCAATGGTAAGTGCGTGGGGAAGATTTTATCTAAGAAGAAAGAGAAATATCTAGAAAAGAGTTTAATAAGATAGAAATCACACGGAATAAAATGAGAGAAGGTGCCACAAAGGTGAAGGACAGAGACTTCGATGAAAATGTGAAAATTCTATTAACATTTTTGCTTTTCAGGTCGAGACATAAGGAAAACAATAGCCGTTTGAAAAGATTGCAAAGCCTGTTCAGTAACACTAGTTAAGATTATGGTATTTCACGTAGTGTGTGCTTGGCAGTATTCTAAGTGATTCTGAGTACTTTGCCTCCGGCTCATTTAATCCTCTCCACGCCACTTGTAAGTAAGAGCCTTATCTCTGTTGAATGGATGAGAAGATGTAAACATAGCGGAGTTAAATAGCCTGGCCAAGGTCCCACAGTCAGTGATAGAGCGAGGGTGAGCACCCAGGAAGCTGACTGCAGACTTCTCTAAACTATTCACTATATTGCAAAATTCAGTCTAATTTTCACTGTTTTCTAGGATGAAGGAGAAGTGTTACCCTGACATTCCAGATCCGTACAAGAGCAGCGTTCTGTCATTAATAAAATCCAAGGTAAATGCTGGGAGATTGTACGTATACCACGTATCTGTTAAAGACTAATCGAAGGTTAGGGCTGTGATAGTACTTTTCTAGACTTCCTTAGAAGACATAACAGCGACGGCCACCTCATCTCCCAGGGCTGTGAAATGGGTGAATGGAGCCTTGAGATTTCTTCCATCGGGGGAAATCCTTTGGTTTGCAACAGCACCTGCAGTTAACTTGTGACTAGGACAACACACACACAAAACCTGAAGCCCTGAGTGCGTTTCGCATATACTTTATATACTCTGACACACACACACACACACACACACACACACACACACACACACACACTATTTGCATTTCTTTTGTTTGTTCCAGGAGAACCCCCGCCTAACAATAATGAATGTCAAGGACTGTATTCCAGATGCTATTGAAGTCATAAACAAGCAGGAAGGCACTAGGAAGTCACTGACAGAAACTGAACCCACCAAGCCCACCTACCTTTACCTCCTCCCAACAGAGAAGAGCCACTCCGGGCCTGGCCCCTGCATCTGTTTTGAGAACTTTACCTATAATCAGGCGGCTTCTGACTCCGTTTCTTGTGGCCACGTCCCAGTAACCCCTAAAGCCCAGCCAAGTCAGCTGGGACTGTTGACATCATCTGAAAATGGACCGAAGGCACTAGGAAAAAACTACGTCAACTCCCTGGGAGAAATACCAGCTGGAGAAACTAATTTGAATTATGTGTCCCAGTTGGCCTCACCCATGTGTGGAGACAAGTCCAGTCTCCCCACAAATCCACCAGAGCCAGCACTGTGTTCAGAGTACAAAACGCAAATGGCCATTCCCATGGGTCTGACCTCTCCTCCCTCGATTACCCTCTTAGATGAAGGTGAGCACGACCACTAATCAGTATGTACCCGTCGCATGCCTTTCTGCTACACAGACACGAACAGGCTCGGCGGCACCATTCTGTCACCAGATGCCTCGGTACGTAAACCCACCGAGCGGTCACGGGGGGCGTGAGACCACTACGGTCCGGCTCGGTTTGAGAGGTCAGGAGCTATGGAACTTAGCACTCCTCCTTGGAGCAGGCTTGCCGTAGACATGGCAGGCTCCTGGGGACAGGCTCCCTTGCTGGTGTGCTCCAGGCCCACCTTTCGAACAGCAGGCCTGGAACCTGACATAGAGATAGACCCCAGACCCTCAGTACTGGACACGGGGGCTGTGGTCCCACAAGTTCAGTTTTTAGTGAGGAAATTTTCCATTAAGCTTTACCCCCATGTTCAGTATCTTTAGGGTAAAGGAACTAGATTTAAGGTTTTAATAAAGGCCACAGAAGATTCGATACTAGAGCATGAAGTGTCAATGTTATTCCGGGTGTGTTTAATGAAAAAAATCACAGACGTTTGAGGGTAAAACAGATTTTAGACTTGCCTTGAAGCGATGATAATGTGTAGTTCACCGATGCAGTAAAATGAACTCTTCTGGGGGCACAGACCTTAGAAAGGTAGACACGTGAATGATCAGGAAGATCCCAACTGCCTTTCCACTGAGCTTATTGCATGCGAGGCAAGAGCGGGACTGGCAGGGACTCTTAACTTGCTGTCAGGATAACAGCACTCCTACTTGGTAGACATCAGTCTTTGACCGTGATTTTTGACAACTACCTCCGAATAGAAACGAGAATATGTTATTAATTCCATTCACATTTTCCGGTTCCTCTTTTTTTCAAGAACTATACAGAAATGACCTGTTCTCATTTGGCACCCTTTGGTCTTTGCAATGGTCTGGGTCAAGAAAATACCCTCACTGTCTTCATTTATATTCCTGTTATGCTAACATAATGAATAAAGTGCACCTCCATCGTTGGGCATGGTTTAGACATAATTGTAAAAAGCTCTATACAGGGTGGGGAAATTCTGTATTCGCTCAGCAGCGGCTTTGTCTCCTTGAACCAGTATGTACAAGGCACCGGGGACATAGCGGGCATTCCACATGTGCCCGGTCCTTTCTCTGCCTTCTGCCCATCGGCGCTTTACATTTATTTACCATGTTTTAAGCAAGCATGTTTAGGAACTCCTCGCTTGCTGTGCCGGAAGCGACAGCACCTCCGCCTCTGGTACCGAACGCCCTGCACTGTGTCATCGGCACCACACAGCCAAGACTGAGAGCAAAAGACGCACACCTCCAAGTAAGGTGACTGCCAGCTGGCTGAAATATACCAGCACAAGCAGGGCTTCTGTTCAGGCTTTTCAACCTTTTCCTTACACAGAACTGAACCTTTTGCTGGAAAACTGGGCATGTATTCCTAACACTGTAAAAATGAGTATCTTGAGTAATCTAACAGCTTTGAGAAGACTTTGGGGGCCAGTATTATCATCACTTAGACTCCTTGCTCCTTTCTCATGCAACTATAAAAGAAATGGCAATGGCAGTGAAGACAGATTTGTAACTAGTGTCTTTCGTATGGATTTTCTTTTAAAAATCCACAAGACCTTGAAGTCATTTTTATTGCAAAAAAGCCTTAATTAAAATATTTCGCAGCTGCATTTTGTGTGTTCTCTACCTCAATGAAATGAAAATCTAACAGTAAGCATAGCCAGTAAGTCACCTCATGAGCTCACTAAAAATGTAAATTTGGGGATAACACTCCAAACCTCATCAGAATCTCCATGGCTTGAGACCTGAAATATGTGTGTCATCAGCTCCCTTCCAAGCATTTGGATGCACACTCAACCTTGAGAACCATAAAGCAAAATACCAACAGGAAATGTGGGGCTACATAACTTAATGCTTACAATATCACTATGACTGCAGTTTTGGCTATATTCTCCCATGTCCGTAACACCAAACGCGGTCATATTTAAAGCGTTTGTCAATACTACGTGGCGTCTTAACAGCATTGCTTTAAGCAATGTTCTTCAGAAACTTTGAAATTTGTATTCATGTGTCAGAATTATTAGGATGAAAAAAATACTCCTGGAGAATTTCAAATGACAGAAAAGTATAGTAAGTTTAACAAACCCTTACGTATATCATCAGCCCCACAGCCACTAACCCACGGCTGTTTCAGTCCATCCGTACCCTTATCCGCCCTCCCTCCTGATATTTGGAAGCGAATCGTATGATTTCATCTGCAAATATGTGTGTTCCTCTAGATAAGCTCTACTTTTCCTAACATAACCGCAAATACCTTTAAAAAGAACTGTACCTAAAGCCGAATTAGTAACACTTCCTTAGAAATATCAGGGTATTTTGGTGGGCAGCACTGGTGTTAATGATCTATAAATACCACATCAAACTGGAGAGCAGTCCTCAGCTGCCTGCAGGGGACCGTGACAGTTCAGGCTGGGTGCAGGGACGCTGCCACACCAAACCACGGACTTGCCACCAAAGGTGCTTGCTCCCAGTCTAACACTTGCGCTGATTCTAACGAAACCGATTCCCCGCTAGAATGTGTATTTACTGAGAAGATCAAGTTGAATTAGACATCTAGTATTTCTTGTAATAGCTCCATGGAAAGAAAACTGGCTTTCATCGCAAAGAATTTACAAAACATATTAAGCATTTTGCATAAAGAACGTTTAAAAACCCCTGAAGAGATACAAAAGAGAAAATGCCTTCAGAATGAGCAGTTAAAAGATATACAGTAACTAAATATATTCAATTTAAAGCACCAAAGGCAGTTGACTTGATCCTCTAAGATAAGCATTAAAGAAACAAGCTTTAGTATTTTTTTTTTTTAATCAACGCAAAAGTAGTTGCTATGGTCTGAATGATTGTCCTCCTCCAAATTCCCATGTTGAAATCCTAACCCCCAAAGATAATGGTATTAGGAGATGGGGCCTTTGGAAGGTGATTAGGTCACAAGGCTGGAGCCCTCAAGTCCTCGGGATGAGTGTGCTTATGAGATCCGGGAGGGCTCCCTATTCCTTGTGCCACATCGGGACACAACGAGAATTCTGGGGCCTAGGAGACGGCCCTCCCTCGACCATGCTAGCACTCTGGCCTCAGCCGTCCAGCCTCCAGAACCGGAGAAATAGATTTCTGTTGTTTGTAAGCTACCCAATCTGTGGTGATTATAGTCGCCCAAATGGACTAAGACGGTATTTTATTTTTGAGTATTTTTATATACCAAAGAGTCTTCTTTTTAAATGAAATAAACTTTCTAAAGTTTAGGTCTACAAAGATCAGCTGTATGATGATTATTAAGTATGCTTTTTTAAAGTTTATTTTGGGGCCCAAAACATGCACATACAGAAGGCAATGGGAAAATGATACACAGAAATATGCCCAAGAACCAAGTTATCCAAACAATCTGTTTCTGTAAGCGAGACTATCGTACCACACATAGTCAACTATAACCTAGCTTTGACCTGGCTTCGTCGTTGAATTTTACTCTCCAGCCTTGGTAATTTCCCTTGTGGTATTTTCTTTCGCCACTAGGTGGCTATATGATACCCTATCTGATGAGGACAAGTTTCTGCAGGAGAAATCAAATACCTTCCCACAAAAAGTCATCATCATACATACCATCATCACTTATATTGTATATTTCCTCAAAAAATTTAGAACTGTTTTAAAGACAGATCCAGTTTTTCAAACCCTTTACAATGAAGTAAAAAAAACACAAAAAACCAAGCTATAAAGTATTTGCTTAGATTATGAAGAATGTTTTCTAAGTATAGATATTTTAAAACATTTGGAGTAGGCCACTGATGTGTTAATGGAACTAGACTCTTATCTGTAGTACCTAAAAGTCATTTTTACCGGGCGTCACACGTTATCAGCCATAGTGGCACTAATTCAAATCAACGCAATTCAATCCACTGATTGTTTTAAAATTTCAAATAGAACAACACAGGTTTTAAGAATTTTAAGTACATTTTATTAACAATGTATCCCTTTGATAAGATTATGCTTCAGGAGGCTTTTAATGCCCTTGACATAAACTGTACACATTATACAAAAACAAGAAAACCACACACGCGCGCGCGCACACACACACACACACACACACACACACACACAATCAAGGTGAGCAAAACCATTTGGGGACAAACCTTCTTTAAATTATACACAACTCAATGAAATATTCTTACGGAAAATATATAAATACTTTTTCTTTCTATGTTACAGTTGTACAATATAAATCAGATTTCAAAGTCTGTTCAGTGACCTACAAACACCAGAACCTCCAAATATGTAGCAGCTTATTACTAAATAAAAAAAGAATATCGTGTGGTTAGGGAGCATTAAGTCCGAGATTTTATTCACAATCCCTTACCACTTACCACTTTTCAAAACTAATCTACACCATTTGTTTTACAACGCAGCTTCAGGGTTTCTGCCAGGCCAGTAATGGAACATTTTTCAACTATTATCTACGAACAATTTTTATCTCCCCGCCTCTGCCCCAACGCTTTGTATATTTGTGCTAAATCAACCAACTTAGTGACAAAATTATAAGGTATACTTTTTGGCATAAATTATATTCTTCAAATTAAATATTTTATAAAAAGAATCAAATAAGATGTGCAATTAATGCGTGCTGTGGCATAGCTATCCACCTACATTACAAAAATACTCCAAAGGGGGGTGGGGAATCCACATTCTGTGTGAGTCATATAAACCTACTATGAATGAACTCTACTCTGGAAACCTGGAACTAAAAGAAAGAAAGAATGTTCCTAGAAAGATTCTCACAGATTTCAACGTTGTCTGATAGACACTGCTATCCATTTCACTAGTAGGCTTTTATAAGGAAACTCTCACTGTAGTGATACTCTGGAAATGAAGCTGGTAATAATGGATTTCCTGAATGGGGAGACAAGGGAGACCTTCCCCAACTTACATTTTGGAAAACCTGAAATCTTTCATCCCATCAGTTCTTCTCCCAAAACTCTCAGTTAGTTCTACCTTCTCTTTTTTCCCATGTGTATTGGATTGTTGATCTGAGACAACACTGGAAGCATAAAACAAAAGGGGGAAAACCTTCCTTCCAAAGGACTTTTCCCAACGTGGTTTACAAAGCTAATCTCACACAAAGTTAGCACCTCACTCTTACCATGCAAAAACGACTGTGGTTGTAATCTGGACAATTTGATGGGTTTTTATTGCTCAATGATCTGTGCTTTAATGTGGGGATAAAAGGCATCTTCTGAATGGAATGAAAAAACAATTCATATAAAGAGCAGTAGACAAATCAGAATAAGCACTGACGCCTCACTGTCGAACGCTTTACCACCGTGATGTGCCCTGAAGAACTCAGCTTTAATTACCTCAAGCCCTGGATAAAAGAGCTGAAGACAAAGCTACTATTTCAAAAGAACTTGTACACATGATGTTAGAATAACTGGCATAATGATGTATATCGATACCTCCAGAGAGCCTCTATTTTAATGTCACTGTCTTACAGAACGTACTTATGCTACTAATCTTTATTAGAAAATTTTTTATTAGGGAGACATTTCCCCCCTTCAAATCTACCTAGGCATAAATAGGAAATAAAAGTATAAGAAATCTTAGACCATATTTAATTATCAATACTAATTTCTAATTTCCTTATCATTTATCAGTATTTACTTTAGTATGTGAAGCTGAAATCTGTTCTTGAAAAAAAATTTCAATTAGAAATAACAATTCACTTTATAATTAGATATTCACAGCTTACAACAAGCACAACTGCCCAAATTCCTCCCAATTATTCAATAATTACCAATAGTACAAATTTATATGGACTAAGATTAATTCTAAAATCTCAAAAAACTACAGTATTGACATTATTTTGGTACTTTATAGTCTGGTAGTTATCTATTATTTATAGATGATTTTCTCAATTATTTCTATTACCACTGACACCATTCCTAATCTTTTCTGCTATAATTTAAAATTTTTAAATACTAAGTTAATCACTTGGCACTGCATGTGAGCATTTTGCATTATTAAAGTCTTTTATACAAATGAGTACTTGAAAACATATTAGACCCATCAGTGAAACACGGATAAACCAAATAGCACTATACATTTAAGTACAGACTTTTTTTTTCCCTTAGATTACTGATAACCACAAAACTCTGTCTCCCCAAACTAAGTGCTATAGGCAATTACTATAATGCATACATAGTCTTTCAAAGTAAAAGTCAAAAAACAACAAGAACAACAACAACACAAACTGTTAGGCTAATAGTAACAAAGACTTCATTCCAGGATGGATGAGTGAAATGAGGTCCAGGATGGGGACAGGCGTGTGTGTGTGTGTGTGTGTGTGTGTGTGTGTCTGTGTGTGTGTGTTAAGAAAGAATTACTATTAATTTTTGAGGGATTAAACCACAGATTTTATATTCTATATTAACTGAGGTAGTGTTTAAAATGAATGTCTAAAATATGTCAACCCCATCATGAATGAATAAGATTACTAAATTACCTCCTTTGGAGTTTTTAACCACTATTTGGTCTAATATCTCTGACATTTGGTTTCTGGAAGGCAGTTCAATCGTCCAAGACCAAAGACCAAGGTGACAGGCAACCAACGTTCTTAAAAGTACTGTTAACATTTAAATAAACACTTGGGTTCAGTGATAAATTAAAGTGAAAAACAATATTTTATTGTCACTTGGTTTTATGAGAGCAAATCCGAAGAACCACTTCTGAACACGAGCAGCAGCCTGCAGCCCTCCTCTGCTGTGACGGTGACGCTGCTGCACGGTGCACGCGAGAATGCACCGGACGAAGCGCGGTCAAGAGGCGTTATGAAGTGAGATGAAGTGCTTCATCCCGGATGGAACTTTCAGTGCCAGTAAATTAAAAAAACAGAAACAAAACAAAACGAAACAAAAAACACAGTATCTCTGTGAGTTACGTTTCCTAGTTCACAGGGTTCTTTACAGAGATCTCAAAGAACAAGCCCGTTATAAAAACAATCTGTAATATGGGAAAATATTCATCAAGGTACTGTGTGGCAAAGCTGATGTGTAACTGTAAAAATGGTATAAACAAATGAATTAAAAAAGGGTCCTAATCAGTCCAGCTGGATTTTTTTTTCTATTATATATAGACCTCAAAAAAGATAATCCTTTCATTTACAAGCATTCTAATGGTGATGGCCATGCTATTTTTATATACAAATTTGCATATATGTTTAATTCCTGTAAAGATTTCCAAACATCTTTAAACATATACAAATTAAACACACAGATAAACAAAACCTTGCCCTCATCAACTTAACAGCTTCACAAATGTGATAAAGGCAATTGTGTTGATAAACTCACCTATCACCGCATTTAGTTTGTGCAAAACAAGAACACTGATATAAAAAAATTAAATTACTGCTGCTTTAAAATTTGGTACTTAAGGCTTTTCACTACAATTTTTAATCATAATTAAAGTTGCATTAATGATTTTTTTTTAAGGAAATATGGCTCTTCTTTTCCCACGGAATGTGTAAATCGGAGGCAAACATCTCTTCCTCAGGAAATCCCAAGTGTCAAGTTACTGCTTTCTTTTGCTTTAGGTCTCATTTAATAGTGCTCGCTCTGGTTCCTGTTTCAAATGGTGATATGGGAAGTTGATGCAAATGACAAGTCCACTGAAAACATGTGCAATTCTACAAATGGGAAATACTGAATTGTAAAATGATGTTTCAATACGAATCAAGAACTGTAGTGAAAAACCTTAATTGGTTCGGATAGCCTATAACAACACACTGCAACAAAAGTGAAGAGACAGAAAACAAACAAACTGTGATGCAAGTCTAGTAACATCAAAATAACTTATACAAGTTCTGGGTTGTTGAGGCTCTTCTTTTGCTTTGAGGTTACAAACCTCTGAAGTAGTGTTACAAACATTAGGAAAGATGCGGAAGGGCCAAAGTTCCCGCCCTAATACCAGCAGTTCTCGCACACCCCACTGTGGTAACGGGGAGCAGCCTCAGAGACACCGATTCCTGGTTTCCACGAATTAGTTAACAAACAAGGCATCTTTAGATTTACCCTAAAAAAAGAATTCAGAAAGAACTGTGTGAAGGGCGCTTCTGCATATCCTATTATTGTTCCACTGTGGTTACGCTCTTAAAAGGAAAAAGTAGAAAACCTACGTAGGTATTCAGTGCTTGGCTCTTGCATATAATGGTAACTAAAATTCCTAAAAGTGTGGTAATGAACAGCGAACCCCCAGAGGGCTCAACAGGGACAAGAGGAAGTTGTTCCGGTTGGGGAAGTCCGCAGTTCCAACTGTGCGTGTACCAGTGATCGCTGGAACAGAAGCTACTCCTGTCTTTGCCGCCCGGTCAGCATTTTCTGAGGCTTTTTGTTAGGAACTCGGCAAGTCTGAGTATATATGGCGTCCATCTATGCACGCGATGAGCACCGAGGTCAGGACTCAGCAGCTGTGTCCACTGCAGGTGGCTTTGGTGGTGCTGCCAGCACAGCCTCTGCTTCTTCATGCATCTAGGAGAGAAGTGGTGACTTGCTGGCGTTTCAACAGATACAATCTGTCCTTTAACTTATCCAAACACAGAATTATTCTCGAAAGGTAAACTTCCTAAGTACGAGTGCTACTTACTTGTAAGAACTGTACATCTTGAAATAATTCTTGTATGAACCTCCGACACGGAAGTCTAAATGTGCAGTGTGAGAGCAAATGAGAAACCTCAGAATAAAGGCAGATGTCATCAAATGTTTGAGGATACTTCTCCTTAATTCTAAAACCGAAGAAAAGATGATGGTGGGATAAAAACTGTAAAAACAACTTACCTATTTTTCCACCAAAATATCACTTTTGAAATGTTCTTCCTCTAGACATTGATTCGATGGCATATTGGCCTAAGAATATAAAATATTAAATATCCCTAGCTCACACTTAAACTAGACATTTTAAGTTTGGGGTTACCAGAAATACTCTTTTTCACTAGCATGAGAAATTGCAAAATTTATTTATCCACCTAGGATGACTTAACCATTTTCAAAATTAAATTTTTAAATAGAAATAAGTTTTTGGTTAAGTGTCCGACTCTTGATCTCAGCTCAGGGCGTGACCTCAGGGTAGTGAGTTCAAGGCCTATGTTGGGCTCCAAGTCCAACTTAAAAAAAAATAGAAAAAAAAAATAGAAAGAAGTTTTAAAAGTTAGTTTGAAGTTATTAATATCCTTAACTGGGCTATCTCCTTTTATCTTCCACCTTCTAACAGTGGCTTTTAACTCAGAATCAGGGGTGGGGTATGCGGGGTAATACACAGGCTAAAGACCCGCTACTGCTAGAGAGTGTGTGGCCGGAAAGTCTGCAGTACGACCTCTGTGTTACTGTTTTGTTTTTTTTTAATTTTTGAGAGACAGAGTGAGACAAAGTGAGAGTGGGGGAGGGGCAGAGAGAGAGAGGGAGACACAGGATGGGAAGCAGGCTCCAGGCTCGGAGCTGTCAGCACAGAGCCCGACGTGGGGCTCGAACTCACAGACCGTGAGATCATGACCTGAGCCGAAGTCGGACGCTCAACTGACTGAGCCACCCAGGCGCCTCTGTGTTAGTTTTTTTAAAGGCCCACAGGAGACTCTGCACTGTGTTTCTTCTGAGGACCACTGCTTTTTAACAGTGCAGATCGAAGATGGTAATGGTTCAATGTAACTTTTCTTTTATCATGCTGCTCTGCTTTAGAAAAACAATAAAAATTCTGCAACTTGAACTACGAGAAAGAGGAAAAATGGGAGGAAGAATTAAACCAAGAAAATATCACTTGTTTTTGTATAGGTCCACTTATCTTAAATTGTTCAGTCTCACGATTCCCACCCTTTCTTAAAAATTATTCAAGACCCCAAAAAGCTTATTTTTGTGTGGGTTACAGTCACTGTTAATTACCATATTAGAAATTAAAATTGAGAAGATTTCAAAATATACATTAATTCTTTTAAAAAATAAGCCCATTACCTGTTAACATAAACACGTACATCTAATAAAAAGTATTTTCCAAAACTAAAAAGTGAGAAGAGTGGTATTGTTTTACATTTTTACAGATCTCTTCAAGTCCGGCTTAACAGAAGATAGATTCACATACCTACTTCTGCATTCCATTTGTTACTGTAATACATTATTTTGTTTGAAGTACACGAAGGAAATCTAGCCTCACACAGATTTACCATGCAGAACTATGGATGTAAGCTAATTAGTCTAACTTTTGAAGTGTTTCAAGGATCTTTTTTACCCTAAAGAGAACAGAGAATACTCATGGTTTACTTACGTTAAAAGCCCAGTTTCATGACATTTAGTTGAAACTGAACTACTCAAATTAATGACTAATCTCAGAACTTCTTTGCGAAGGAGTATGCGGCACATTGGTGTATCATCTGGAATTGTTTTAACACCTGAAAAGGCGATTAAAATATTTTATCTTTATCACAATAGAAAATGATTACAACTCATGAAATTTGTTCTTAAACTAAAGATCTAAGACAGAGATAAACTGCGCATAATCTACTGATCGTTCTGGAAATAAAATTCTAATGCAAGAAGCCAACTAAAAGGACACACCTCAGCAGCTGATACAGGTGACTAAATACAGGTACTGGTAAGTACACCTGACTAAAACAGGCTTGCCACAATTTTGAGATAACATCAATTAACATTATTTATCAACAACAACCACAAAACTAAGTATAGTTTTACTAACAATGTTTGCATTTGAATCTGAAACTTACCTAACAACAATTCTGTGCTTTTGGTGCTGCTGGCTGAGCCTTCTTGAGACACTCCATCACTGCATCCAGAAATCCCTGAAAACTTAGAAGGAACCACTTCTAAGGGATTCTGGATAGTCTGCTCACACCAATCAGAATATGGAATGTCTTGAAGGTCTGAAGAAAAAATGAATTATTGCAATTAAAGTATCATTATAATGGCTTAATTCCTATGCTTGCATTATATACCAGAGAGGAGATGATTCCTTTTAATTTCTTTCCAATTTGCAACATTTTCCATAATGATCTTGGAAATAAATTCAGACTGTTCAGACAGTGAAATTGGTTAAATTCTGAAGATTTTATACATAAATTTTCCTAAATTACAAAAATAACATAAAACTATGTGATTAAAGAATTCAAATAAAGACATATATAGAATAAAACACGAAGGTACCTTATCTACTCCCTCACCCATGACTCCCACCCCCAAACTAAATGCCTCCCTAAAGGGAAATATGGTTAAAAAGTTTGACATATATGTATCTTTAAGATCTTTTGCTATTTTAAATTTCTTATTCTTTGGGTGTGGTAAGATTATACTATACTATTATTCTATGACTTCCTTTCTCCCCATTTAATAATTACCAATATAAGAATCATACTTCCCTGGGCTTATCATCAGTTCATTCCTTAGAATTAAACTTACTACCCTTCCCATGCATTGCTAAGGTACTCCTAGATGGGATTTTGAAGTCAACCAAACATCTCAGTGTTTCTAAGATGACATTAATTTTTTTATTTAAAATTTTCCTGAGCACTTAAAGTGATTAGGGCAAATGGAAATCAGGAAGTCTTTGGCTATCCTTTTAGGGAGTAACACGGGTCAACCTATAAAATCATACAACCTTCGTACTATAAGACATACTGGAAATTAATTAAGGCTCTCATCTCATGAAAGAAAAGAAATTCAGAGAAAGGAGACACACACTTAGCCAGAAGGTAAGAGCTCTTGACAGATGGTCCAGTAGTCTTTTACCAAAGCACGTTGTCACAGTACAGAAAAAAAGCCCTATTTTTAAAGCCCAGGAAACCAAACCAATGTCAATCTCCCCCTATGTTTTTTTTTCCACAAAACAGATATCACCCCCTCCTCTCACCTCTAAGCACTTCCTAAGATTACTATTTACATAATACTAAGCAGAAAATGCTTTGGTTCCTTGGAAAAGAATAGTTATAAATTGGCGTAGTTTTAAAATTCTGGTTATTAAGGAAATCATGTGTCTTTCAGGCACTTAAATTAACACATGCTACTTCATCATTCATGGATTTAAAAAGTAAAACTATTGCCAAAAGATTTGAGAACTAAAGATGTACTTAAAAAGCAGCAGTGCCAAAGGCATCCAAATCGGTCAGGAGGAGGTCAAACTTCACTCTTCGCAGATGACATGATGCTCTATGTGGAAAACCCAAAAGATTCCACCAAAAACCTGCTAGAACTGATTCATGAATTCAGCAAAGTTGCAGGATATAAAATCAATGCACAGAAATCAGTTGCATTCCTATTTACCAAGAATGAAGCAACAGAAAGAGAAATCAAGGAATCGATCCCATTTATAATTGCACCCAAAACCATAAAATACCTAGGAATAAATCTAACGAAAGAGGTGAAAAATCTATACACTGAAAACTATAGAAAGCTTATGAAAGAAATTGAAGACACAAAAAAATGGGAAAAGATTCCATGCTCCTGGATAGGAAGAACAAATATTGTTAAAATGTCGATACTACCCAAAGCAATCTACATATTCAATGCAATCCCTATCAAAATAACACCAGCATTCTTCACAGAGCTAAAACAAATAATCCTAAAATTTGTATGGAACTAGAAAAGACCCTGAACAGCCAAAGCGATTTTGAAAAAGAAAACCAAAGCAGGAGGCATCACAATCCCAGACTTCAAGCTATACTACAAAGCTATAATCATCAAGGCAGTATGGTACTGGCACAAGAACAGACACTCAGATCAATGGAACAGAATAGAGAACCTAGAAATGGACCCATAAACGTATGGCCAACTCACTTTTGACAAAGCAGGAAAGAATATGCAATGGAATAAACACAGTCTCTTCAGCAAGTGGTGCTGGGAAAACTGGACAGCAACATGCAGAAGAATGAACCTGGACCACTTTCTTACACCATACACAAAAATAAACTCAAAATGGATGAAAGACCTTAATGTAAGACAGGAAGCCATCAAAATCCTCAAGGAGAAAGCAGGCAAAAACCTCTTTCATCCTGCCTGCAGCAACTTCTTATGCAACACGTCTCCAGAGGCAAGGGAAACAAAGGCAAAAATGAACTATTGGGACCTCATCAAAATAAAAAGCTTCTGCACAGCAAAGGAAACAATCAGCAAAACTAAAAGCCAACTGACAGAAGAACAGAGGGTTACTGGAGGGGTTGTGGGAGGGGGGATGGGCTAAATGGGTACGGGGCATTGAGGAATCTACTCCTGAAATCATTGTTGCCCTATATGCTAACTAATTTGGATGTAAATTAAAAAAAAAA